TCCAGCTACTTGGAAGGCTGAGGCGGAAGAATCGCCGGAGCCCAGCAGGTCGAGGCTGCAATGGCCGGGAACGGCCACTGCACGGCAGCCTGAGTGACAGAGTGAGACTCCAACTTAAAAAAAAAAAAAGAAGACTTAGATTATAGAAATTGTCTTCATACTCTTAAAAGGATTAATCAATTCACCCTTTATGGTCTGAGCTCATTTTACTACTAATATCTCACCAATACCTTTGGAATGAAGACTGCCTTACTTTATAATGCACAAAAATTACACGAGAAATGCGATTGTAGAGGCAGACTCCAAAATTATTTTCTTGAAATGCAGCTATTTATTTTTTCTGGATGAGGCAGCTTATAGCATGCACATTATTTTAAATAAACTGAAGGGTTGAAAATATCAATGCGGGGAGGGTGAGATGGATTGATTCCAAAGTGGCCAGAAGTCATTTGAGGACAATCTCAGGGGTGGAGAAAAGGCAGGTTTCCTTGTGTGACTCAAAGCCCTTCTGAAGGGCGGCAGCGAACATCCGTGAGCTAAAGCAGCCTCACTGTAATAAATCTAAGCTCTTCCAAGGGGACTGCTTGGAAGGGAATCAGTCATTGGTATACACTTGTTTAGCTTAAGGTGTTAAAAATCGATCTCTGGATGAATTGGCAAATAATCAGTGTCAGAACTGGAACTGGAAGGATGTAATTATACATGCTCAACATGACCTTTCCATTTGCTTTTCCTTGGGAGTCATGTACTGGTTGAATCAGTCCATTAGATTCTATTTTCATTAAAAAAATTTTTTTTGAGTAGGAGTCTCTCTGTCACCCAGGCTGGAGTGCAGTGGCACACTCACGGCCACTCCAGCGTCAACCTGCTGAACTCTGGCGATCCTTCCGCCTTGGTCTTCCAAGTATCCGGAACTACAGGCACACGCTACCACGCCTGCCTAATTTTTGATTTTTTTTTAAATTGTAGAGATGAGGTCTCGCCAAGTTGCCCAGGCTGGTCTTGAACCTGCAGGCTCAGGCAATCCACTCACCTTGGCCTCCCAAAGTGCTGGGATTACAGGTTGAGTCACTGAACCTGGCCTGTTTTCATTTTTATCAGCTTTATAATTCCAGGATTTCCTGTTACTTAGATGGATATCCTGCTAGGCCCATTCTTAGCTATACCATTTGCCCCTTGTATGAACAGTTCTTTCTCTAACCACGTCTGATCTGTGCTGGGCCCCAAACTATTCACACTGCAATGGTTTTATTTTATTTTAAAGATGTAGGGTACAATTTGCAATACTTTTGAAACTTCACTTGTGCTGTTTCCTCTGCCCAGAATATTCTTCTACATTTTCTGATTGGAAATAGTCTCCTAGTTCTTAGAATGTAAACCAAGTATCACCTTATATCTATTCCAAAACACAAGACCCAGCTTAGTAAAAAGATATGTGTGTATAACTATTATGGTATCGTTATTGTTCATTTACCCATATGCCTCTTCCAACAATGTGCGAGTGATATCGTCTTGTTCAACTTTGTTTGTTTTGAGACAAGCTTTCACTCTGTCACCCAGGCTAGAGGGCAGTAGCATGATCATGACTCATCATAGCCTTGACCTCCTGGGCTCAATCAATCCTTCTGCCTCAGCCTCCCCAGTAGCTGAGACTAGAGGCGCACACAACCATGCCTCAGACTGGAAGGGGATCATAAGACAGACAAGACAGCAGCACATCACAACAAGCATGTTCTCTGTGCTAGGCTCAAGGGACACAGAGACAACTCAGAAAAGGCCCTGAGTGTCAGTGGATGTCTCTATGCCATAAAGCAGAGCTGATGGCACAGGTGTTTCCAGGCGCAGGTTGGTGTGCATCATGGCCAGTATGTTTTTGAAGCTTTAGAGAAGACAGAGGGAGGAAGTAGATTGTGGGGCAGGGACAAACTGTCAATAGAGTAGCAAGGATCTGGCATCACAGTGAGAACAGATAACCTGGGCATGGAGTGTGAGGAAGGGATACCGGGGAAGGACAGTCCGCATTGCATGTCAGCGCACTGATGGGCTGAACAAGGAAGCCTGAAAGTCACCACCAAGTCTGGGGAATCTTGGGACAGAGTCCCTTGAAATACACACATAAAAGATCCTGCTTCATAAACCTGTTTGGCAGAAGCTGGTGCATACCATGAGGACCTTGCAGACCCCCAAACGTGTCCTCACCTGAGATGGTGCACCTGCCCGTCTGCGACTTCTTCCTGCAACTTCTTTCACTGTGGTGCCAAAATCTGGAGCCTGGATTCCATGGGGCCCTGTAAAACGCCCTGTAAAAAGTAAGATATGTACTTGTTTTGGCTCTGATACTCACTAGATCACCAACTTTGAGGCTTAGTTTCCTCATTTATAAAGTGGCAATAATAATAATACCCATGTTCTTCGTGGGTAAAAACAAATGAAATGGGCTGGGCTCGGTGACTCAGCCTGTAACCCCAACACTTTGGGAGGCTGAGGTGAGTGGATTGCCTGCATCTGTGGGTTCGAGAACAGTCTGGGCAACTTGGTGAGACCTCGTCTCTACAGTAAATCAAAAATTAGCTGGGCGTGGTAGTGCACACCTGTAGTTCCGGCTACTTGGAAGGCTGAGGAAAGAGGATCGCTGGAGCCCAGCAGGTCGATGCTGGAGTGGCCGTGAGTGTGCCACTGCGCTCCAACCTGGGTGATGGAGTGAGACTCCAACTCAAAAAAAAAAAAAAAAAGTGAAATGATGGTATGGCAAAGACTTAAGAAATGCCTCTTTCCATTCGCCCCAGTGCTTATGCCCTCCCTTTCTTCTTGGCTTTGCTTTACTTATTACTGTGCATCTCCACAGCATGCCTCTACAGAATACCAGGTGCAGATGAGCAGGTGACATCGCAGCAACCTAGCACAAGAACAAAGAATAAGGAAAACACATTGCTTCTAAGTTTTTGTTAGCATGAAAATACAATCATTCGTTCACCTCAGATGTGCAGAATGTCTCTTATGTGGCAAACTGTGCTCTCTGGGAGGGACCAGCCCTTCACACATGAGTATGTGAACTCTTATTCCTGTTACAGTTGAGAATTCAATTTATTTGAGATCACGTGCTTACATGACCAAAAATAAAGTGTTCATCACACAAAGCAAGTCCTGGGGATGGTACACCCTTACAGCTCACCTTCAGTCCTTAGGAAAAGGAGAAATTCTTTCTACATGCTTGGCAGTGACTGTTAGAAGAGCCTGGGCTTTGCTGCCTAAGAACAGTATGAACTTGGGCAAGTCACTTTTTTCTTTGAGCCCCAGTTTCCTTGTATGTAAAATCAGATTATAATATCTTCTTCCCTGGTTGCTGTGGGAATAAGGCAAGAGGCAAGAATATACTTCATAGTAGGTGCTCAGAAAATATGGCTGTTATGATTTTCGAGAATAGCAGAGGGCATATTGACACATTCATGAATTGTCAGGGCAGGTAATGCAGTCTGAACTTGGTGGAGTCCAGCCCTCAGGAGTCACTAGCTGAGATCCTTTGCCCAGTGAAAGAGCTCGGAGTGTCCCCTGTATGTCGCAATTCCAGAGGCTGTAGACGATGGGGTTCAGCATGGGGGTGACCACAGTGTACATGATGGTGGCCACACGGCCCTGCTCTGCCTTGTATCGGGATGTGGGCCGGAAGTAGACTATGATGACTGTCCCATAGAAGAGGCCCACAACAGACAGATGGGAGCCACAGGTGGACACAGCCCAGAGCCTCCCAGAGGCCGAGGGCAGTCAGAGCACAACAGCTGCGATGGCCCCGTAGGAGGCGAGAATGAGAAGGAAGAGAGTGATCCCACTGCAGCGCCTTCCGTGAAGACAAGCAGCTGGATGTGGCGGGTGTTGGAGCATGAGAGCCTTAAGAAAGGCTGATGGTCAAGAAGAAGTGGTGCACTTTGTGGGAGGCACAGAAGGACAGGTGGGCCAAGAGCAGGATATGCAGGAGGGAGTGGATGTGGGACACCAGCCATACTGTCCCCACCAAGGCTGTGCACACAGCTCGGGATATCTTCATTGCATAGTGGAGGGGTTGCCAGGTGGCCACATAGAGGTCATAGGCCATGGCAGCCAGGAGACAGTTATCAGTTAGCCCCAGAGCAAAGAAGAAGTCCATTTGGGTCAGGCAGCCAGCAGGGAGATGGAGCGGTCATGGGCCAACAAGTTGGCCAACATCTTGGGCACAGTTGCGGAAGTAAAGCAGAGGTCAGCAAAGGACAGATGGGCCAGCAGAAAGTACATGGGTGCGTGGAGGGTTGGACTGGCCTGGATGGCAGCCAAAATTAGTCCATTGCCCAGGCTGCCTGCCACATAGAAGACCAAGAACAGCGCAAAGAGAGGTTTCTGCTGTCCAGGGCTTGTTGTCAGTCCCAGGCAGGACAAATGGGGTTTCCTCTGAAGACTCATTGGCAGCATCCATGACCAGGCTGGTCATTGGCCTGGAACCTCAGAGCTTCCTTTGGATTGATGGGTCATCTTCTCCAGTGTCTATGGGAAAAGGTGAGTGGCTACATTCCTCAAGAATCCTAGCTATGAGAAAAATCATGGGTTTAGAGTCAGATACCCTGACCTTACACACAGGGCCGCAGATATCCCTGGCCCTGGTGTGACTGTGGGTGAGTCATTTCACCTCCTTCCTTGCTGGGCCTTAGATTCCCAATCTCTAAAATAAGAGAATTGAAGTAGGTGAACTTGATGGTCACTGCCAACTTTGATACTTTGTGATTTTAAGCAAAAAAATAGAAGAAGATTTTGCCAAAGATGTAGACCAGGGAAAAAGGAAAATATGAAAGCAAAGACAGAGCAGAGAGAAGATCAACACAGAAAAATCTGATCAATGGATATCTTTTTCAGGAAGGCAAGAGTGAAAACAACAACAACACACCAGGATGGAGGAGAGAAACATATAAAAGAAATACCAGAAAAAAGTCCAAATCTAAAAAGCACATATGCCTATGTTTATATGAAAATAAATATGAACCTACAATACCCAGAAGGAAATAGTGAAATTTTAGAACACTGACGATAAAGAGAAGAATCCAATACCACCCAAGGACGTGGGGTACAAAGAACTAATGATATCCGGATAATCAGACTTCCATAAAATGTTTCAATATCTGCAGTAGATGATAGAACACTGTTGAGCACTATCTTCAAATTCTGAAGAAAAAAAATTTTGAACTTAGAATTCTATACTAAGCCTAAGTATTACTAAAGTGTAAGGGTAGAATAAACAGATTTTCAGACTTGCAAATAAAAGAACAAAAAATATGAATAACTCCTCATATCCCTGGAAAACTTTCCCCATGAAATCAAACACTCGGGTGGGCTCGGTGGCTCAGCGTGTAATTCCAGCACTTTGGGAGGCCGAGTCGAGTGGATTGCCTGAGCCTGCGGGTTTGAGACCCGCTTGGGCAACTTGACGAGACCTCATCTCTACAATAAATAAAAAATTAGTTGGGCGTGGTAGCGCGCGCCTGTAGTTCCAGCTATTTGGAAGGCTGAGGTGGAAGGATCGCCGGAGCTCAGCAGGTCAAGGCTGCAGTGGCCGGGAGCGGCAACTGTGCTCCAGTCTGAGTGATAGAGTGAGACTCCAACTCAAGAAAAAAAAAAAAATGAAAAGAAATCAAACGTTTACCAAACTCCAAGCAAATGAACATTCTTTTGTGAGAAACTTGTGTGGACAGACAGACACATCTGCTGGGACATAGAGACTTACTCTTAAGGACAGAGGAAACTTGTTTTCAATGCTTTACTTTCTTTCTATCGAATCTTGTTGCAGAAATCTTGGACAATCCTCTAAGAAGGGATCTTGAAGAGAGAGAAATTTTAGGACACAGGTTTGCTGAAGAGTATGCTGAGACCATCTCTGCAGGGGAATGACCTCCTAATTTCTTTCTCTGTCTTTCTCTACTAAAAAAATTAAAAAACAAAACAAATGAAGGACCTTCTTACCTTACTGTTTTCCTTTTCTTCCTCCATAGGTTAAGAAGAATCTCTGGCTTTGGCTTCTTGTAAAGTATCTTTCTCAAATTCCCAATCACTTCTCACTTTCTAAGAGGGGAAGGGGATCAGGGTGATTGGGTAGAACAGAGGATGAACCCAGCACATGCATTCACACCTCAGTAAGCAGACAAGCATAACCATAAGACCCAGATATCATACACATAAACACATGGCCAAATGCAATCACAAAATAGCACTGAGGCCAGAGAGGGCAATCATTCACTTTGTCTGTGAAGGCTGATAGCACCGTGCACAGTTGCTGTGACCGTACATAACTGTTGTGACCTATTACGCACATTCATACTTTCATTGACCACTGACTCCATGTGAGCACTCTGCCCGTTCCTGTTCATGCACCCCCAGTCACACCCAGTTCTCTCACTGATCATGCAGTCACATTGATCACACCTAGCTTTGCACCTTCACATACAGCTACACTCACATAGCCTCATGATGGATTACAAGAGAGATGTGCCACCCTAGAGGGGCACATCCACATACGCATCGTCCCTCACCCCTCACAATGACACCATAGTGCAGTAATAATAATGCACAAATCACAGCCTTACAAACAACACACACTCTTATACTCACACGTATGACTCATATAGACCATCACATACAGGAAAACAGATCTGCACACTCTGCAATCTGGTCCCGTCTCCAAGTGTACCCTCTGACTTTTCCATTTGTCACTGGAGGGTCTGAGGAGGGAGCGATTGGCCGTACATATGGGATTTAAGGCCTTAGCTTCTCCTCAGAGGCAACACTCCCACTTCTCCTGCCCTTCATCCCTGGAACAGCTCTGCTGTGGGGCTGTTATCCTTCCTCTCTAGGGCCCAATTTGAGGGGCTCTGAGGTGGTTGTGCTGCCTCCAATTCAGGAGACTTTTGACAGCCCTGTGCACAGCAAAGCTGCTGCTCCTTAGTTCCTGTCTTGTGCGGATGAGAGAGAAGGGTCAGACTGACTACCAAGCCCCAAGGAGAGTGACTGAAGAGCCCAAGGTTTATAGCAGTAACTTCTGGGTCAACCTTCCTGTCACCTCAGCTGTGGCTGGTGGCTTCTCCTCGTAACTGTAGAAGTGTGGGAAGGATTGTGCCTTGGGTGACTGTGACAATATGTACAGCTGTGTTTGTGAGAGTGATTGTTTAACTGTATGTGTCCATTAGCTCTTGCGTATCTGAATGTACAGTTGCGTCTGTGTCTGTGTGGGTCACCGGGCCTATGAGAGTGTTTCTTTGGCAATGAATAGTTCCACTAGGAGATTGGGTCTGGATTGAGGGAGTATGTATTTCTGTGTGTGTATTTTGGTATGACAAAATTGAATCTGTAAGTAGCGTTCCAGGTAGGAATGGCTTTGCACAACATGATGTTGGAACAAATATAAAGGATGACTTTGAATACATCAACTTTCAGTGATTCCCTATTGCTTATTGAATAGCGTCCAAATTCCCTAACATATAAGCCGTGGGGTGTCCTACTAATTCTCAGATTCTCAGTCTTCAGATGTCCTTCCACTTCTTTGTCACCACACCCGTCTCAAACCAGTTAAGTCTGGCTCCTTAGAGTCCTCTGCACATGCTGAGCTTATCTCACTCCATCCTTTGTGTACGTTGATCCCCCACCCCAACAAGATGCTCTGCCTCTCAATTTCCACACATATTTTAGGGCCCAACTTATTTCTTCAGTGAGTGACCCCATCTTCCTCACCCCAAACCCGCTTCTGTCCTCAATGCCTGTCCTAGTAAATGCTGCTGAAGGAAAATACGCTATCAAAATTGGGCAAGTTCACTGGGCATTTCTCTTCAGGAGTGGGGATTTGACTGTTTCTCTTCCTTTATCTTCCAGGTTGGGCTCTGTTACTGCCTTCTAATCCTTCCCTGCTCCCTCTTGTTTTCTTATCTCTCATGTAGGCCCAGTATAATAGTCTACAACTCTGTGTTTCCTCCAGTTGATTTCTAGAATTTGTGTAATTGTCATATCTGGATATTCCGCTGATGCTAAATATGTGGAAGAACCCACTGACATCCTGTAGGGCCAATGTAATGGAAGGGGTCGTATCCTCCTAGAAACTTTCCCTGATCATGGTGGGTACTGTGTGCCATGAGAGCCCAAGAGCTCACACAAAGGACAAAGGACCATGGAAGAGATCTTTGAGTACAAATATAATTGAATTGGGGGTAACCCTTATATTTGAAGTCCTGCAATCACAAATCTTTCTGGTAATGCCTCCAACCTTTGTCGTGGCACTGGAGTTGTTACAGTGATAGGAGCTAAGAGGAGTCAGGGAACTGGGAAAGGATTATGAAACCTTGAAAGGAGAAGGGGTTTTAATTTATTTGAAACTTTGTCAAATTATGCTGTGTTTGGGATATTGTACCTTTGCTCTCAAGATGCCAGTTCATCAGAAAATAGGGTGACCAACCATCTTGATTCTTCCCAGGTCTGCGGCCATTCTTAAGAAATGGGACTTGGAGTTTTAAAACTGGGACAGTTCTGGGTAAACTGGAATGAGTTGGTCACTCTATCAGGAAACCTATAAAGTTCTTTAGGATTTGAGGAGACGGTCTTGTTTACTTTCTTCTTTCCATTAGCTTGGGACCTCCAAGAAGCTCATAGTTACCAAGAGGAAGGGTCTCAGTTTTGGTACCAAGAGGCGTCACCTTCCTAGGGAGCCAGGTTGAGGCTTTTAGTCTTCCTGTAGTCTGTGTCAGGTGGCTGATTTCTCCTTGAAGGGGAATGCAGAGGGGTAAGACCAGCTCCTGACTGGGCTCAAGGAAGAGACTCCATGGGGAGTCTGTTGGGTAAAGCATTGTTTGAATGCCATATCTTTCCCATCCCTGGCCTCATGTCAGTCATAATTGGGGGAACTGGAAGGGGACCAGGCAGGAACTGACACTTGACTCTGGCCATGTTCCATCTCTTCTCAGAAGTTCCTGTCTGTGACTCCCAGGGTCCACTTGTCTGCTCCTTCATGGAGGGACTTCCTAAGCAGAATGTAGTGACTTAGGCCTTGCCTGTGTGTAAACAAGTCATGGTGGCAAGAGAAATCTGACAAAATTGTGAACTTGGGTAGATGAAAGTTCCAAGAGCACTGGGTCTGAAGGTCCACCATGACCCAAGTCTTGGGGCACTGAAGTTATTGTTGTCCAAGCAATCAAGGTTAATGCATTCCCTCTCCTAACCCTAACTGTACCTCTGGATGTTGTAATATTAACATAAAGCAGTCATGATATTAAGTCTTCCCAATTACATAACAATCCAAGCAAGCTCATAACTGAATGAAACTTAAATATATCAATAACTAACCCCCTATTCTTTAGCTTTGAGAAATAGTAATAATCCATAACCCTAACTAAGTCTTAACATTACCCCAAATGTGTCAATTTAGTACCTAAAATATTATGCCTAACT